GCCATTACATCAACTAGATGTTAAGAATGCATTTCTTAATGGAGACCTAGAAGAGGAAGTATTCATGGATGTACCACCTGGATTAGAAGACTTGGGAAAATCTGGTCAGGTTTGCAGACTGAAAAAGTCCTTGTATGGACTAAAGCAGTCTCCTAGAGCATGGTTTGATAGGTTCACAAGATCAGTTATTAAACAAGGGTTCATGCAATGTCAGGCAGATCATACACTGTTTGTAAAGAGAGCAGACTCTGGAAAATTGGCTATTCTTATAGTATATGTTGATGATATTATTATGACCGGGGATTATAAGGCTGAATTGGACAGATTGAAGGCTCATCTAGCAAAAGAATTTGAGATCAAGGAGCTAGGCGAGTTGAAGTACTTCCTGGGAATGGAAGTGGCAAGATTTAAGAAGGGCATTTTCATTTCACAAAGGAAATATGTTCTAGACTTGCTAAGTGAAACTGGAATGCTTAGGTGCAAGCCTATGGACACTCCTATGGATATGTCAAAGAAGTTAGGCAGTGAGACTGAAAGTCCACAAGTTGATAAGGGTAGATATCAAAGGCTGGTAGGGAAGCTAATCTACCTATCTCACACACGGACAGACATTGCTTTCTCAGTAAGTGTGGTAAGTCAATTCATGAATGACCCAACCGAGGAACACCTAACTGCAGTGTATAGAATTCTAAGGTACCTAAAAATGACTCCTGGAAAAGGATTGTTGTTTCAGAAACAAAGGACAAGGAAGATTGAAGTGTTTACAGATGCTGACTGGGCTGGAAGCCTCTTAGACAGAAGGTCAACTACTGGTTACTGTACCTATGTATGGGGTAATTTAGTCACCTGGAGGAGCAAGAAACAATCGGTGTTTTCTAGAAGTAGTGCGGAATCTGAGCTCAGAGCTTTAACACAAGGAATCTGTGAAGGATTGTGGTTAAGAAGATTGATGAATGAGCTCAAACTCCCATTTGAAAGCTCCATCCAGATCTCACGTGACAACCAGTCTACTATCAGTATTGCTAAGAATCCTGTTTATCATGACAGGACCAAACACATTGATATAGACAGAAGGTTCTTATCAGAGAAGATTGCAGCAAAGGATATCCAGCTGAACTATGTTCCAACCAGACAGCAAATAGCGGATATACTCACCAAGGCACTTCCCATAATTCAGTTTGAAGACTTATCTAGCAAGCTGTGCATGGATGATATCTATCACCCAGCTTGAGGGGGAGTGTAGATTATTACAGATAATTACTCATCCGATTTAGCATTTATGAGGAGATATCTTAGAGATCTCAGAATCTCTAAATATCCTCAATTATCTTGTCTTTATTAGGGAATCTTAATTAGGAGGATTCCTTCCTTATTCCACTTTTCTCTAGCTATATATATTTTGTATTCATCTCATTGTATTACACAGAATAAGAGAAATAAAATACATTTTACTTTCTCAAGTTATTTCTACAAGAAGAAAGAGCTTGCTTAACTGATTTGGGCTCTATATGGGCCAACAGTAAAGTTGGATTAAGTCTAGGCTTGACAATCCCAGATTTTGACCTGGTTTGCATGGGATGAGAGTTATGGGGAGGACTTGGGGATGTAGAAGAGGAGGAATCAGAGGATGATGGAGATTGAGAAATGTCAGATGTGTTATTTTGGTGATTATAAGAAGTTGAGTTATGAGAAGATTGATGATGATGATGTGAGGCAGTATTATCTTGAGGTGTAGTGGATGAAGAAGTGTGTAAAGAAGGACTGGAAGAAGTATTGACATCATTCTCAGATTGAGGATGTGATGATAAGGAAGAAGGAAGAATTTTTATTGGAGCTGAGAGGGAAACTGGAACACTAATGGATGAAGTGGATGTAGAGGGAAAAAGAGTGGGATAAGGAAATCTGGTTTCATTAAAAATGACATCCCTGGAAATATAAATTCTGCCACAGGGAGAAAGACATTTGTAGCCTTTATGATGAGATGAGTATCCCAGAAAAACACATTCCTTAGAGTGATAATCCATTTTATGTTTGTTGTAAGGTCTAATGAATGGATAGCAAGAACAACCAAAGACTTTGAGAAAATTGTAATCAGGAGGGGTGCCATAAAGTTTGAAGTGAGGGCTGAGATTGGCAATAGATTTAGATGGAAGTTTGTTGATAAGATGTACTGCAGTGGCAAATGTACTGTCCCAGAATTTGAATGGTAGAGAGGAATGAGCTAAAAGACATAGACCTTTTTCAACAATGGTGCGATGTTTCCTCTCCACTACACCATTTTGATGATGTGTATGAGGACATATAACTCTATGATTGATACCCTTATCAGTCAGAAACTTAGTGAATGACCTGAATTCTCCTCCCCAATCAGATTGTATAGATTTGATACAAATGTGGAATTGATTGAAGATATATTGATAGAAGTTTTGAAAAGCTAAGAAGGCATCAGATTTCTTTTTGAGAAAATATATCCAAGTATACTTAGTGAAGGCATCAATAAAGGATATATAGTAACAATAACCATCAAAGGATTGAATAGGAGTTGGTCCCCACAAGTCAGTGTAAATCAATTCAAAAGGAGAATGAAATACAGTTGTAGAAGGATGGGATGGTAATCTGTGAGCTTTACCAAGGCAACAAGCAGAACAAAAGTCCATAGCATTTTTATTTAAATGAGACAGATTACAAAGATTGAGTACAGACTTAAGAGCCTCAAAATGAGGATGGCCTAGTCTTAAATGCCAAATATTACAATTGATGTTTGACTGAGAGTTATTACAAGTAGACATAAGAGAGCTAGGACACACAGAAATAGGTGAATAAGACTTGGACACTTTTGCAGGTGACTGGTGAGACCCAAGAGCTGGAAATGACTGGAACTTGTAAAGACCATCTTCACCAAGGATTCCATATAGCAGAATTTGTTTAGAAACCTGGGATTTGACAAAGCACTCATGAGGATGAAATTCAAAAAATGCATTGTTATCCTTGGCAAATTGGCTGACACTTAATAGATTTTTAGTGATGGCAGGAATATGTAAGATGTTATTTAGAGATAAAGAAAGAGATGAATGATAAGGAGAGGGAAAGGATGAAAAGCCAATAGACTTAATTTCCAAACCTTGACCATTGCCCATAAAAAGCTTATCAGTAGTAGCAATAGGCTCACTGTGTTGAAAGTTTAGGGGATCAGCTGTGACATGATGTGTTTCTCCAGAGTCTGGGAACCAGTTTTGTGTATTGGGAGCTGGTCCAAGTATAGATGAATTTGCAGAAGCACAGGCTGCAGTTGGCACAGTTGATGATGAACTGAACTGTGAAGGATGATTAGGTGATGGAGTATAAGGTTGTGTTTGATGCATAAACTGTGATTGATGGGTTGGATTGGGTGAATATCTTGTTGTGTTTGAAGGAGATGATTGATATTGTTATTGATTTGGATATGAATGTGGTGTAGGAAAAGGAGACTGTTGAGGTTGGTAAGGCTGGTTTGAGTATTGAAAAGGAGACTGTTGAGGTTGGTAAGGCTGATTTGAGTAAGGAAAAGGAGATTGATGCATAGTAGAAGGATTAGAACTGGAAATGGTATAGGCTGGATTGTATATGTGATAGCACACAATGGCACTGTGACCATTTTTACCACAAACTTGACAAGTTACAGAGCTTCTACCACCTGAACGACCACCTCTGCCTCTATTAAAACCTCCACGACCTCTTCCTCTATAGGATGAATTGTCTGCAGAAGTGTCAAACTGAGCAATTTGAGTTGAGGCATTCTCTGAAGTATTCTGAGTTTCAGTTTCAGTAGTAGGAGAGGTAGTTTCAACTCGCGCAACATTAGCAGAAAATATTGTTTGCTGTGAGGAGTCACGTAATTTTCTCAGTCGTAATTCCTTAGCCAACAGAAGGCCTTCAAGTTCAGTCAAAGTAACTGGATCTAAAATACTTCGTGAGGTGACAGAAGATATAAGTGATTCATAATCCTCAGGAAGACCTTCAAGGATCACATTGATGTGATCCTTGGTGGATATAGGCTCTCCGACAGATGTTAGGTTATCCACATGGGTCTGAATACGAAGCAGATATTCGGAAATAGAACGATCACCTTTTCCGGTGTTATACAGTTCCGATTTCAGCTGACGAGCTCGCGCGATGATGCTGGAGCGGAAAAATTGCTGAATTTCACTCCATAACTCATGCGAGTGCTTGAAGCAGATGACGCGAGCATGAAGTGACTCAGAAAGCGAAGCTAAGAGCCAGGAAAACAACATCTGGTCTTGTTGCTCCCATGTGTTGTACGCTTCGTTAACTGTTTTTGTTCCATTTTCATCAACAGCAAAACGATCTGGTATTTGAGGATTTTCTATGAATCTGAGAAGCTTATGAGCTCGAATTACTGATTCGACATGGTGTCGCCAGAACAGGAAATTGTTTGAATCGAGTTTAACAGGTAGAGGATGATGAAAGATGATAGGCGAGGTTTGATTGGCAATCTGAGAAGATGATTGCGACGAAGAAGAAGAAGAATTTGACTCGGAGTTCGCCATGGTAGATCGAGCAGAGCTCTGATACCATATTAGAAATAGAGCAAGGTAGAAGAAAGGAGTGAAATCATCTTATTGAAAAATAGAAAGTGTACAGAGTATTTATAGAAGCTATGGTTGTAACTAACTGCAGCTAATATAACAGAAGCCCAACTAATACTAATTACAAAGCAATGTACGTGTAGCTTCTATATACTATTCCTAACACAATAACATCCAAACCTTATTCCCAAAAGATTTTGGGGTCGGCTAACATGAACCGATCCATGATATCGGAGGCAAAAAGAAAAGAAAGATTAGAAAAATAAAAAGATAAGTTAAGATAAAAAGATAAGATAAAGAGATAAATATAAGATAAAAGAACATAAAAAGATTAAAAATAAAATAACATGAGAAAATAAGAAGCAGTTTGTGGATCTTTATTTATTGAACAATGCATAACATTTGAAATATTACCTCGATATCTCGCCGCCGAAGTTCCTCCTTCTTAGCTTCTGAGCGAGAATTACGTTGCACTTCAAAGACAAGAGCTGCTACAGCCACCTGTTCAGGAATATTGTAAAGTTACCCAACACATATGTTAACTAAAAGACATAATTCGCGAAGTAATATGTTGCTCTGTAATTGGAACATCACAAAAGATAGATATTATCTTCAGCACCTGACAAGATTGTTATGATCTCATTATGTTCGCTGGAAACCAAAAGCAAATGAAAAGAAGATAAGAATAAAAAACAAGTAGCGGGTCAATCCTATGATAGAAGAACAAGTTGACTAAAAAGAAATGGTCCCTAACCATAAAGGACGAAAATATATATTCTAGCCAGATTTACAACCAGATATTGTCATTTTAAGGAAGGCTATCAACTCTAAGGTTTGATCGGTTAACATGTGTGTCTATCTGTTATGCTATTCATTCATTCATTTGATAGGCTTAATCAAAAGAATAGTATGATATAAGATTGGGACTTTAAATTCCTAAACAGTCATACAGGTCTCCAATGTGTGAAAAGATAGCTAACATGTACACAAACTTTAGTAGAAAAGTTAAGTTCTAGCATGTTATTTTCCCTTTGTAATGTTTCTATGATGAAATATGGGTGTTGCAATAAGCAAATATTGAGCATAGACTATGGAGTAATTGGAACTGGAGTAACTGGACCTCAACCGCGTGGGCCTATTGATCGCTTCGTTACTCGTCCAGGCAGTAGCTCAAGAGATGTAGCAAATGAGCAGGAAGTTATAGAAGATGATATTCTGCCTAACAAAATGAGTAAAACTACCATGAGAGAGCGACGCAATCTTGTTTGTCAAGATGTGGGCAGATTTTTCTTTGAAAATGCAATAGCATTTAATGTAGCCCGCAGTCCTTCTTATTTTAACATGTTGCGTTCTGTTAGTAATTATGGTGCAGGCTTTAAACCCTCATCTATGCATGAGTTGCGGACGTGGATCCTTAAAGCGGAATATGATACCACGAACACATATGTGGAAGAAGTGAAGAAGACATGGCCGCACACCGGAGTTACGATAATGTCAGATGGGTGGAGCGACACAAGAAACCGAGGGCTTCTTAACATTCTTGTTAACAACCAATATGGTAATGTTTTCCTCAGATCTGTTGATGCATCGGATCGAGTTAAAGATGCAACTTATCTTTTTGAATTGCTCGACGGAGTAGTTGAGGAAATAGGAGAAAGTCTGGTAGTGCAAATCGTGACAGATAATGCAAGTGCATACAAAGCTGTTGGGAGACTTCTAATGGAGAAGAGGAAGCACTTGTATTGGACGCCATGTGCCGCCCATTGTATTGACCTCATGCTTGAGAAGATTGGAGAGCTGCCACAGAACAAAAATGTCTTGATCAAAGCTAAGAAGGTCACTAATTTTATCTATAATCGTGGATGGGTTTTGCAGCTTATGAGGAAGTTTATCGGGAAAGACCTAGTTCGTCCAGGCCCCACGAGGTTTGCTACTGCTTTCTTGACTTTAGATTGTATGGCCACCGCAAAAGAGCCCCTGCAAAGAATGTTTGTTTCTAAACAGTGGACTTCAAGTCGTTATGCAAAATTAGTTGAGGGGAAGGAGGTTAAAAAGATTGTGATGGATGACAGAACGTTTTGGCCTGGGGTTGCTTACTCAATAAAAACATCAAGGTCATTAGTTGAAGTTTTGAGGATTGTTGATGGTGATGAGCCTGCAATGGGATTCATCTACGGTGCTATGGATTCTGCAAAAGAAAAAATTGCAGAAAATTTTGGAAATCAATATTCCACTTATAGTGAGATTTGGAAGATAATTGATGAGAAGTGGGAGCACCAACTGCATCGGGACTTGCATGCTGCAGCGTATTATTTGAATCCCAGATTCAAATGGGAGGATGACTTCTCTACTCATGTGGAGGTTAAGAAAGGTTTGTATGCTTGTATGGAGAGGCTTATTTCTGATAGTAGTGATTTTAACCAAGCTGATGCACAAATGGATGAATATCGATACAAGCGTGGACTTTTCGGAATGAGGGCGGCTCAAAATTCATATAAAACACGTCCCCCAGGTAAACATTAAACTACATCTTTAATATCTTTAATGTTTATACATAGTGTACTTGTGTATTGTTGCAAAACAGAATTTTTTTTAATTCTTTAACATTTTTTAGTGGAATGGTGGGATCAATTTGGAGATCATATTCCAGAACTACGGGCTTTTGCGGTCAAAATTCTTGGCTTGACGTGTTCTTCTTCCGCTTGTGAACGAAATTGGAGCACATTCAATCAAGTCCATACGAAGAGAAGGAATCGTCTTTCAGCCATTAAGTTGAATAGTTTGGTATTTATAATGTTCAACAAAAAGTTGAAGTTTAGGAAGAGCAGATTACAAAAGAAAGAGGATAATTTGATCTTCGATAATGTATCATCTGATGATGAGTGGATTGCTGAACCGAATGCAGATGATGGAGAAAGTGTGGATGCACGTGATGAACTTGCATTAGTTGTTGATGAAATGGACAACGAATTCAGAGGTTCATAACTTAATATTTTATTTTTTTGTCCCTTCAATATAATTATTTACACTTAACTTCCATTCCGTTTCATTCTATTTTTGTGACTTTATGTGTGTAGGGGTGGACCTTACAGTTGGAACTGAAGAAGATAATGAGGCCCGTGAAAATGAAGGAGATGACAATGAGAATGACATTACTAATTTGGATACTCATGAAGAGGACGATAGGCTTAGTTTTGAAGATTAATAGTTCCAATTAGTCAATTTGCAAACTTAAACTCCTAAACTTTTATTTTCTTGTCTTAGAATTTTAATGTTTTATGTTCTTTTGAGTTTTGACTTTGGTATTTCAGTTTTATATTATTTGGACTTGAATATTTTGTAGTTATGATATTTTTACTTGTGATTTTGTTTAGATATGTTATTGTTATGAATTATCTATACCTTCTAATATGTCATAGGCTTGTAGATACACTTGAGCAATTAAATTTCGGGGCTTACGCCTCGTTACGCCTCGGAAGGCTACCCCCGAACGCCTCGAGGCCCGATTTCGCCTTTCAAAACCTTGAGCATAGTTGAGGAAATTATGAGTTAACTCATAGAATCAGACAAATTAACAAAATCAGGTAGCAACAACAACGATAACATCCAAGCCTTATTCCCAAAATATTTTGGGATCGGCTACCATGAATCGATCCATGAAATCAGAGCCAAAATAAAAAAGAAAGATGAGAAAAATAAATAGATAAGTTAAGATAAAAAGATAAGAGAAAGAATTCGGTTGAAGTAAGTTAAACTCGTTAAAGGAATTGCTAAAGGAATTGCTGAGTATAACCAAGCTCACTGAGTTTGATCCTTGATAGTATAACCCAGTTCAAACGCTCATAGATTTCTAATTTATACTTCGTAGTACAGACAAAGGGATTTGAGTAAAGTTTCAACTTTCAACGGAGGCATGCTTTGTTCCAAAAATCCTTACCAGGTATGTAATTTGATCAGAAAAATGGCCAAAAGGTCTGATACAGTCAGCTCCAGGATGCTACCAGATGACTTGCAGTTTTTTATTTAACTTACAACCATAACTGTCTCATTTGAAATTCACTACACACATATGCATTCATGTATCATTCACTGTAGTTCCAAACTGCTGATTTAGATAGTTTCAATAAAAATAATCTATCATTCAGGTCTTCAAGATATATAACTAAAACAGTTACCTGGGTTAGGGAGTACCGAAGTAAACTTTTAGGGCTAGGTCGTGGCGTGCAATGAGATGCACATGTTTTTAGACATGAGAATGTCATCTTTGTTACCTAACTCTAAAATAATGGACTAAAGTGTTGTAAACAAAATTTACATATTGCCCCCACTACCCCTATTTCACTGTGTGACCTAAACAGTAAGCCCAGTGTTATTGATGGCGAGGCAGATTATGGCAGTCTGCTCTGTTCCCGCCATATGGCATTGGTGCCACTATAAGCAACCACAGGTCCACAACCCGCCATTCTTCACAAATTTCATATGGTTGTCGTCTATATTTCATTCACCAACTGCCATGAGCCCATGATGCCTCCCTAGGCCGCCGTTTGACAACATCGGCGATGCCGGTCTCTTCTTATATTTTAACAAGAAAACAACTTAGACTTAATTTAAACATTCTCTCTCTCCGACACACACCAAGTGTATAGGCTATCTTTCCACCATACCGGTGTCTCATGTTTTTATAAAATGTCATTTTTTGTAACCCTATGAGCATGTTACGTACCGGTATTCTTTGCGTCACGGGAATGAAATATAAATGATAAATGGATAGAGACTGCGAAAATTTGGAGAGTTTTCCTTCTCCTTGATTTATTATTAATTTTCTTCGATATTTTATTAGCATAGCAGAGCTCCATTTTATAAGATGGATTACATGCATATGAATGCAGAAAACAAGGAAAGGGAAATCATAGAAAATCACTTCCTAAATAGTTTTACTAATGAAGGTATTAATTTCAAATTAAAAAAAAAAATCAATCAAACAAAACAAATCAATAAGCTATTACTCCTCAATATTCTACTTGATTGCTCTTTTTATCTTTTCATAATATTATATTGTAGCATGCATAATTACACCCCTCCTCGAAAATCAAGCTTGCCCTCAAGCTTGAATACTTGAATCGGATTTTGAATGACTACACCAATACAAAGTGCCAGTGATCCTTGTATTCTTGAAGAACATTGAAAGTCACTCTTAGACTCTTAGTTGTGGACTATGGTGAAGGAGATCATCAAAACAACAACAACATCTAACCCTAGTCCCAAAAGATTTTGGGGTCTGCAAAGGTGATCATCATCCATTAAATTCCCTTGGAATACAATGGCAAACAGGGCAAGTTTTAGTGGACCACAATGGATCCACAAAGCCCAAGGAGTTTGCTTTGGGAAGTTTATCAGATAGGGCAGTCTGCATTATGGGTGTTGTGGACAGCGTTGGCTACTTAGCTCTAAAAGATGTTGTGTTGGAAGCAAAGCCCGATGGCGGTTGAAGCAAAAGTTTTGTAGATGAAGTGTTTACTGATGGGGTGCTTCATCTCCTGCCAAGGAGTCCACTCATTAGGAAAGATTGGCCATCTGGTTAGAAAATTTCTGAACCGACTCCTTTAATGGTGCCAGTGCTTGTGGCACCTTTTGCACTGGATTTGCAGCTTGTGAAGATGCTCTTCCCTTGTCAGTTTGTGTAGCTCCTTCTGTATTTTTGAGAGGAGTGTGTACTGGTCAGCATGAAGAGTGAAATTTCCCATGACCCCGGCAATGGGACCAAAATGTTATGTACCGGGATTCTTAGTGTCACAAGAATGAAGTATAAATGATAAATGGAGAGGCTGCAGAAATTTTTTTTCATCATTTCCAATGAAGCCAAAGACTCATTATTTCTTTGGCTTGGAAATATGATGGAATAAAGCAAAATGGTTCACTAAACTGTCTGCGCTTCTTTGTTACGAAGCACCAATCAGTTCATGCAATTTTCGACGTGATTTTCATCATGGGTCATCCAAAAACCGTCTACATGCGCTTTAGTATAGGGGTAAAGCTACGTACATCCGACCCCCCTTACCCCACCATAGGTGGAAGTCTTTGCGGCACTGGAGTAATGTTGTTGTTGTTGTTTTCTTTGGTATTTTATTAGCATAGCAAGAAGGGGAGCCTTGGCACACCAATTAAGGTGTTGATGTTGTGTGACCAAGAGATCACGAGCTCAAGTTTTGGGAGCAGCCTTTTGTCAAAAATTTAACAGGGAAAGGCTTGCTCCTTAAGCTCTACAACCTTGTGGTGGAACCCTTCCTCGAACTCTAGCCTTGTAGGGATGCCTTCGTGCACTGAGCTGCCCTTTTTTTAATTTATTATCCTAGCAAAGCTCCCCTTTATAAGAGGGATTACATGCATATTAATGCAGAAAACAAGGAAACGGAAATCCTAGAAAATCACTTCCTAAAATAGATTAAATAATGAAGGTAATAAAATCAAATCATAATAAAATCAATCAAGCAAATCAATCAGCTATTACTCCTCATTATTCTACTTGAATGCTCTTTTTTATGTTTCCATAATATTATATGTAGAAAAATGTAACATGTATTTGTTATTTTAATTTTATGTACATCCGGAACTGTATAGATAAGACTTAGAGTAGATAGAACTCTTTAACTAGTAGATAAGCTCACAGAATAGATAGATCCTATTATTTAGGATCTGTAACAACTAGGCTTTATCTGTAACTTGTATACATATCATTGCCGGATGGCTCAATAACATTCAAGGAAGATTAATTCTTCAAACCTACATGGTATCAGAGCCTCGGTTTAAACAACACAATGGTAGAAACCAGTGATGCTGATTCCTCACACACTATCAACCCTAACTCCCAAATTAGCCCTATGACAAATTACCAGTCTCCTATTCATTCATCTATGATAATCACTAGTCATAGATTGAATGGAACAAACTATCTGGAATGGTCTCAATCTGTCAGACTCGCAATTGATGGGAGGGGAAAGCTAGGTTACATCACTCGAGAAATCAAACCAAAACTACCTGCAGAAGCAGGTTACCGTACATGGAGGTCAGAGAATTCACTCATAACAGCTTGGCTTCTCAACTCCATGGAGCCCTTAATTGCCAAACCTCATATGTTTATGAAAACTGCAAAGGAGGTATGGGACTCTATTAAGGAAACTTATTCAGATCTTGAGAACTCTTCTCAAAATTTTGAACTCAAAACCAAGTTGTGGCAATCTAAACAAGGAAATAGGGATATCATTTCATACTACAATGAAATGGTATCTCTGTGGCAAGAATTAGATCAATGTTATGGTGATGAAGAGTGGGAGAGTGCTAAGGATTTGGCCAGACATAAGAAAAGAGAAGAGAATGATAGGGTCTATATGTTTCTAGCAGGAATCAATAGGGACTTAGATGAAGTAAAAGGCAGAATACTGGGAAAGAAACCTCTGGCCCCAATCAGAGAGGTCTTTTCTGAGATCAGGTTGGAAGATAGCAGGAGGAGGGTCATGTGCAACACTCCAGTACCTAATGAGGAACCTGGGGACTCTTCAACTTTAGTGGCCAGAAGTGATGACAAGAAAAAACCTTGGTGTGATCACTGCAAGAAATTGTGGCACACAAGGGAAACATGCTGGAAACTTCATGGAAAACCACCAGGAGCTGGAAAGAAGAAAGTTGAAAGGGCCCTACAAACTACTGTGACTGAGACTCAACAAGAGTCAGGAGTTGAATCTAAACAGCTGCCTTTCACACAGGAACAGATAGAGTACCTACTCCAATTTATACCCACCCAGAAAATCCCCAACCAAGAAAACCCTTCCTGTTCTTTTGCCCAAAATGGTAAAATAACATCATTTTTTTGTTCTGAAAAACCAAAAAGTACCTAGGTCATTGACTCAGGTGCAACAGACCACATGACCTACATTCCAAATCTCTTTTCTTCATATCAACCTTGTGCAGGAGATAAAAAAGTTAGAGTTGCAGATGGCTCTTTTTCAGCCATAGCAGGGATGAGAAATATTAAAATTTCCTCATCCATTAACCTTTCTAAAGTCTTACATGTTCCAAAACTTTCCTGCAATCTTATCTCTATTAGCAAAATAACCAAAGACCTTCAGTGTTGTGTAAAGTTTTATCCTTCTTATTGCATTTTTCAGGATTCGGCATCGGGGAGGATGATTGGCAGTGCTAGAGAGGAGGATGGCCTATATGTTTTTTATGAAGAAACACAATTGAATAAACAAGGTCAAGAAAAAACTTGTCTGCAAACTATTTCTTTTCCTTGTAATAATGAAGTGTATTTAATGCACTATAGATTAGGTCACCCAAGTTTTTCCTATCTAAAAAGGGTGTTTCCTAAGTTATTTCATAATAAAAATCCTTCATCATTTCATTGTTATATGTGTGCACTTGCCAAACATCATAGGAGCTCTTATATCCCTCATGGTTACAAACCAACAAGTCCTTTTACTATTGTACACAGTGATATTTGGGGTGCATCTAGAGTTTCAACTTTGAAAGGAAAAGGTGGTTTGTAACTATCATAGATGATCACACACAGGTCACATGGGTTTTTTTTATTAAAGAAAAATATGAGGTTGAAGATGTGTTCAAGAAATTTTACTCAATGGTTCAGACTCAATTCAATACTAATATCAAGATTGTAAGAAGTGATAATGGCCTTGAGTATTTTTCTAAGAATTTAAATAATTTTTTTGATGGAAAAGGGATTATTCATCAAAGTTCATGTATAAATACACCTGCTCAGAATGAGAGGAAAAATATGCATTTGCTTGAAGTCACTCATGCAATTATGTTTTCTGCTGGAGTTCCAAAATATTTATGGGGAGAAGCTGTTTTACATGCTACCTATTTAATTAATAGGATGCCGTCAAAGACTCTAGGATTTAAAACTCCCATTGATACACTTCAAGCTAGTTTTCCTGAAACTAGGCTTATCAACACTCTTCCAATAAAAATTTTTTGCTGCACAGTTTTTGTTACCAACCCTGACAGAACTGAAAGCAAATTTGATCCTAGAGGCAAAAAATGTGTTTTCTTAGGATTATCTTCAACACAAAAAGGCTATAAATGTTTTGACCCTACAACAAAAAAGATGTTTGTAACAATGAACACTGTTTTTGTTGAAAATCAACATTTTTTAGTACTCATCTTCAGGGGAGATTCCTAATGAAGATGGTAATAATGTGTCGCATATCCATGAAAAACTTGAATTTCTTGACATTAGTCTAGATGCACAATATAATAGACAGTTAGATGCACTAGAAAATAGTCAAGAATCAAAAGAAAATGAAATAAAATTTTCTGAGACAAGAAAAGATGATGAGCAGCAGACAAGTAAATTTTTTGGCAAGGTTTATGAAAGGAGAGTTCCAAATCAAAGAATAGAGGACATCTCTGATCCTGCCACTGCTCATGAATCTGACTCAATGTCAGAAAATGACAAAGGTAATAATTCCAGTGATCTAAATCTACCAATTGCTCTCAGAAAAGAAAAAAGATCATGTGTTAAATACCCTATCTCAAACTATGTGTCTTATTCTCAGTTATCTGCATCATTTGCAGCCTTTACCTCTAGCCTTTCCACTGTTTCTATTCCCTTAACCATACAGGAAGCTCTATCTAAACCTGAGTGGAAGAAGGCTGTTTTAGAGGAAATGAATGCTCTTGAAAAGAATCAGACATGGCAGGTTGTGGAATTACCCAAGAACAAACCAACAGTGAGATGCAAATGGGTATTTACCCCTAAATTCAAGGCAGATGGTACACTTGAAAGATATAAGGCCAGATTGGTTGCCAAAGGATATACACAAACCTATGGCATAGATTATACAGAAACTTTTGCTCCAGTTGAAAAATTAAAAACTATAAGGATACTTCTATCTCTAGCTGCTAACCTAGACTGGCCTCTTCAACGGTTAGATGTGAAGAATGCTTTCTTCAATGGGAAGCTTTAAGAGGAAGTATACATGAGTCTCCCTCGTGGGTTTGAGGGACAGTATGGCTCAAAGGTGTGCAAGCTGGAGAAAGCCTTATATGGACTTAAACAGTCCTCAAGGGCTTGGTTTGACAGGTTTACTCAATTCATAAAGAGGCAGGGATTCAAGCAAGCCCAAGCAGATCATACACTATTCATGAAGTTCTCAAGTAAGGGAGAGATTGCAGTGTTAATTGTTTATGTGGATGATATCATTCTTACAGGAGACTATTATAAAGAAATTGAAGACCCGAAGAAGAAGTTGGCTCAGGAATTTGAGATCAAAGACCTGGGAGAATTGAAGTACTTTCTTGGCATGGAGATAGCCAGATCAAAGAAGGAAATTGTGGTATCTCAGAGGAAGTATGTACTAGACCTTCTCCATGAAACAGGTATGAGTGCCTGCAGACCAATAGATACTCCAATTGATCCTAATCAAAAGTTAGGAGATGTCAAAGAAGGAGTACCAGTTAATGTTCAGCAATATCAAAGATTGGTGGGAAGATTGATTTATCTGGCACATACAAGGCCAGATAGTATGGTTAGCCAATTCATGCATAATCCATTCCAGGAACATCTAGATGTTACCTACAGAATCCTAAGGTATTTGAAAAGCTGTCCAGGGAAAGGATTATTTTTTAAAAAAGGTGACAATAGAAGTGTGGAAGCCTTTACAGATGTAGATTATGTTGTCTCAATAACTGATAGAAGGTCTACATCTGGGTATTGTACCTATGTATGGGGGAATCTAGTGACTTGGAGGAGTAAGAAGCAGAATGTGGTTGCTAGAAGTAGTGCAGAATCTGAATTCAGATCTATGGCTAATGGAATCTGTGAACTACTTTGGATCAAGAGAGTGATTTCAGAGTTGAATATGAAATTGGAACTACCTCTGAAGTTATATTGTGATAATAAGGCAGCCATTAATATTGCTCACAACCCTGTGCTACATGATCGTACTAAACATATTGAAGTGGACAGACATTTTATCAAAGAGAAGATTGAAGCTGGAATTGTGTGTGCACCATTCATATCTACCAAAGAACAAACAGCTGATATCTTTACAAAGGGGCTGTTCAAACCAGTATTTGAACTACTTATAAGCAAGTTGGGAATGTATGATATATACTTACCAACTTGAGGGGGGTGTAGAAAAATGTAACATGTATTTGTTATTTTAATTTTATGTACATACGGAACTGTATAGATAAGACTTAGAGTAGATAGAACTCTTTAACTAGTAGATAAGCTCGCAGAATAGATAGATCTTATTATTTAGGATCTGTAACAACTAGGCTTTATCTGTAACTTGTATATATATCATTGTCGTATGGCTCGATAACATTCAAGGAAGATTAATTCTTCAAACCTACATTATATTGTAGCATGCATCAGAGCAGTTGTGTCCGTCCATATATTTTAGGGCATTGTTATTGTCAATAATTTACTGATATAACTTTGGACAGGCTCACTATTTTTTGGCTTAGAAATATGATGGAATAGAGCAAAATGGCTTACTAAATTGTCTGTGATTCTTTGTTATGAAGCAACAGTCAATTCATGCAATTTTGTGCTTTGATACAGGGTAAGACTGCGTACATCTGACTCCCCTTTCCCCAACGTAGGTAGGAGCCTTTGTGGCACTGGGATGATGATGATGAACTTTGGACAAACAGGTGAAGAATTAAGTTTCCCGGCTGGTGGCTTCCTCACTAACAACTAACAGCTTTATATGCTCCCTCTCATCTCAAACTAGTAATGCATCTATATCAAGACGAATAGTAGTTTCCAACCCCTTGAATCATTCCCATTGGCACCAACATATATTTCCATCGACATTCTCCAATGGGTTGACTAAATTTGTTCCTTCTTATAAATTATATTAAATGTGAGCACAAACAGTCCATAAGAGAGGTATACAAACACCTTGCGTGAAGGTAAAATGGAAGGTACCTACCGAGAAAATAAAAATTTCCCCAAGAAAGTCTACAGCATTCTGTACAGCTTTCTCCTCATTCAAGGGTCGTATTTCAACATCCGTTGCATGACCATAGATGCGTCTTTGCATTGTCGTTGTGATTCGGTGGTTTGCCTGTATAAAGCAATATAAAAGATAAAGATAAAGAAGAAGTTCGTCAGTTGCAGAGATTTCAAGTTAAAAACAGCAAACTATTCTTAGAGAGCTAGTGCAGAGAGTTATTAGCCTCGATTCAACGAGACCTACAACTGCTCTAGTGCTTTGCTAATCTAAAAATTTAACACATCTGTTGCAGCTGAAAGAAATAAGAAAGCTTTTTATACGCTCTACTGAATAGACTTTTGCTAAAGTTTTCCAAAAAACAAATTAATAAAATGAATTGACAAGTACTACACAAATCCCACACTAGGTCCATGCCTTTCATTGTGCACACATTTGAGACATGATTATTCATTCTTGCTCATCCGTGATCTTAGTTTTAAAAGGCACGAGGCGGCTTGAGGCGATTTCATTGATTTACCCGAGGTGCTAGGCGGTGAGGCACGCGCCTCACGGATCTCACCCACATTTCTTTGGTGAAATATATTTTTAGTACTTCTACATGAAGCACTCTTCTCAAAAATACTTCAAACTATTAAACAATCTTAATAAACATCATAAGAGAAACAGAATATTCATTAAAGATAATAAGACAGAAGCAAGAAATATATGTTTAAAGGCATAATTGCCAAAAGTCAAGTTACAAACTCAATCTTAAAACTTCAAAACATAACTAAAAAGCAAAGTAGCAAACTCGCAAGCACAATTGTGAAATCTAGGCCTAGAATTCATCACTGTCATCATCCTCATTATCGAGAGTAGCAAACATTTCCTTCATAAACAATTAATAGTCATTTTGTGATAAATTGAATAATTAAGTTATATAAAAACTGTTAATAGTAATTTAAATAATTAATGTAATAAACTGTTATATAAAAATTGTTAAAAAATCTTAAAAATAAAAACTGTCATTTTATGCAATACATAGTTAATAAATCAGTGTTCTAACACTACAATATCCAGAGTATATGATATAGTATTATGATATTATCATTGTTACGGAATATACTACGGAGTATAAAATAATACATATTTAATTAATAAACTATCACATAAATACAATTCTGTAAAAAGAATCACAGACAGATTTGTAAATTTAAATAATTTAAATAATTTTGTAAATTTAAAAACTTAAAATACTTAACTTTTTTTCAGTTATCTATCAAAACTTATAAATAGCGAAAGATAATACTTACCAGTTATCTAACTTTTATTTAAATAATTTTAATACGTAGTATTTTTATAAATATAACAACTTAAAATAGAAAAAATAAATAGCAGAAGACAAAAAAGGTAAACACTTACCTGCGACGCGAGATAGCAGCACAACACAAGTTAAGTCGGAAGACTCAGAGGCTCAGAGCTACGCCAGATATATCGGAAGACCAAAGGAAGAAGGCAGAAACGAAGAAGAAGACTAGAGAGGAGCGAGGAGTAAGGAGTAAGGAGTAAGGAGCTTACTTCCCTGAGGCGTCAATTGCGCTCGCCTCTTAGAAGCGCAAAAGGCGCGCTTAAGCAAGAAAGGCGATCGCCTCTAGGAACCTGCGCCGCCTTGGTAAGTAAATTGCGATGAACCTAGCGCCTATATGCGCTTTTTTAAACTAAGTCCGTGATCCAGCCGGCGATTATAAGCACCGAAATTTTGTCAGGGTTTTAGGCACCGGAAATTTAGCCGGAAGGACCACTAGTGTGTAAGAAACTATTATCACGTCAAAAGTGGGCAAAGTCAAAAGTGTGTAAGAAATATGAATATCGCTGTCACTAGGTCGTCACCCATAATTCCGTAAGCGATGCGTCATCCCTCCACCATACATGTCACGACGGTAAGTCGAGTCGCGGCACCAGTCAACCGCCATATCGCCTAGGCGATAAGACACCCGCCTAGGCGACAATTAGGCGACTAGTCGTATATTGTATAATACTACCTCCGTTCCAAAAAACTTTGTCATTTTCAAAACTTTGACCAAATATATCTTTTTATTGGAAATTATTTGTTAAAAGTACTTTCATTACAATACCAACAACAACATCCAAGCCTTAAAAGTACTTTCATTGAAGTATAAAATTTATAACTTCCTTAATATTATACTAATCAAAATCGTGGTTCAAATTTTTTGAAATGACAAAGTCATTTGGGACAGAGATAGTATATTATATAAATAATTATATCTTTATAGATATAATTATGTATATAACTATTGATGGAGTATATGGGTCTGAGCCCCAGGACCCACATACTCGGAAGAACAGAAAGCACAAGACAACGGAGTGGCGCCCTCGTCGGCCAAGACGCCCCCGTCGGCCGAGAAGAAGCCAACTCGGATTGTGGTCCTGAGTCCAAGGAACCCGGGTGCCCTCGTCGGCCGTGCCCTCGTCGGCCGTGCCCTCGTCGGCCGCGCCCTCGTCGGCCACGAAGACCTCCCAGAATCGGATTCTATACTTGCTCATTTGTACAGCCCATTAGAGGCTTTGTATTCGGCCCAGTAGCGGTCCAGTTGTAAATGGGCCTCCCAAGCCCAAGGCTTGGGAGCCCAACCCTAATTTTCTCTATAAATACTCCCCTTGGGAGTAGTTTTAGGGGTTACAAATTCATTCTATTAAAGCATATTATTGCACTTCTCTCTCTAGCTCTCACTTCTCTCTAGATATACTCTATCATTTGGTGCTCTCGTTGAGAGCTAGAACAATCAAGTTAGCACCCTTCGTCGCTATCAAGCACAGCTAACCACTGATCATGGGGAGAACTAAGTCAAACCGCAACCTCGTCAGCAAAGTCATCCCGGAGGACCAAGAGCCCAGGGAGCACGATGAGGACGCCACGGCCGACCAGGTCGGCGGAGGGGACCTCTTCCAGGAGGCCTTCAACCTCACGACGGACCTCCGCAACCAACTCAACGGCGGAGTCCCCGACGCCCGCCTCGGCTTGGAAAAGAAACGAGCTGAGAAAGCGGACCACGCCCCGGCCCAGCCTATGGCCGCGGCCTCTCCGTCCGTAGATCCTCAGGTCCAGGCCGCACTATCGGCTATCATCGCCAGCTTGGCTCAGAATCCCACCGTCCTCAACGCACTCCTGCCAAGGACCGGGGGAAACGTCACTCCACCTCCTCATCCCCAACCGTTGGCCGTCCAGATAGGCAACAATGAGGGGGTTGTGGCCCAGGACACGGCATCGTCCCACTCCCACCCTGCTTCCCCTCTTCGGCCCGGGCAGACCCCAGCGCGTGGAAAAGCCTCTGCCTTCAATAGGCTGGGTGACACGCGCCGTCGTCCGGTTTCGGAGAGGATGGCGGGACGGATTGGTGATCCACGTCCTGGTTCGCCAAGGGAGAGTTTGGGGTCTGTGTCCCGGACAGCGGACCAGCCCCGCCCGGACAAGGGCAAGGGGAAGTTGCACGAGGATGACGTGCGTCACCAGATCAACGCGGCTCACAACGAGCGCTTGAGGAACCAGCCGGGTGCCGCCGCGGCCGACAGAGACCCCCGGGACGAGGTCATCGCCCAGCTGGAAAGGAGGTTGGCTCAGATGGAGGCCAAGCAGTCGGCCAACATCCCTACGGCCGGCGCCTCCAACGACCCCGGCCTCAACGCGCTCATGAACAAAGTCAGCGCCCTGGAGAGGGAGCTGGCCGAAGGGCGGGGTGACCCCATCATCCAGGTCAGGACTAGGACCCCTTTCACCAACAGGGTCCTCTCAGCCCCCATCCCTGAGAAGTACAGGGGGAACGCCATCAAGTCCTACGATGGCCGATCAGACCCCCAGGAGCACTTCAACCGCTATCAAAACAACATGTTGATGGTGAACGCGTCCGACGAATACCTCTGCCGTTGGTTCCTCTCTACTCTCGAGGGGCCAGCGTACGAGTGGTTCAACGGACTGCCAGAGGGAAGCATTGACTCATGGCAAGATCTCGCCCAGCGCTTCCTCACTCACTTTGCCGGGAGGAAGCGCGCCAAGAAGTATTTCACCCACCTCCTCTCCGTCAAACAGCAGCACGAGGAGTCCCTCCGGTCATTCATCGACCGGTGGACGAGGGAGACCGAGGAGGTCGAGGGGGCCGATGAGCGCACCCTCCTCGCCTTGTACCAGGGAGCCCTCTGCAGCTCCCCGTACGCCAGGAGCCTCATCACTGACCCCCCGAGGTCGTACGCCAAGGCGCTCCAACGCGGAGGCTTGTATGCCGACGCCGACGAGCTCCACAATCACAAGAGAGAGGGGGGCCATCCCCCCAAGAAGACAAATCCTTCGCCGGCCTCGGGTCCGTCCCCGGCCGGCCAGGGTGCCCAGGGCCGCCACGGCTCTGGTGGACAAAGTAAGAAAGACCGCCACTGGCGGCCGAGGCTGGAACGGCCGGGGGTAGCCCTCACCCACCCGGTCGGCACCATCCTCGATTATGCCGAGAAGCATGGCCTCATCGAGCAGGCTCCTCGGCCGGCCGAGGAGATCCTGGCCATCCAGCAGGGCGGCACGTACTGCCGGTTCCACAGGAACTCGTCGCACAACACCGACGATTGCATCACATTGAAGAAGGCCATCGAGCGCCTTATTCGCCAGGGGGAACTCTCCCAGTTTGTCAAAGGTGGCCCACGTAAAAACACTTGGGTAAACACCGGCAAACGTGGGGGCGAACCCTCTGCGAAGAAGCGCGAGATTGGTAGGCTCAGCGACGACGAGGACTTTGAGGAGCCTCCGCCGAAGAAGAATCACATCCACCTCATCGTAGGCGGGAACACTGGGGGGACTCCGCCACTCAGAGAAAGAAATGGGCCCAATCCCTTTACATTGGAGAGGTGTCCCACGTTCCCCCCCAGCCGAAAAAGCAGCGAACGGAGGCGATCACCTTCACCGACAAGGATCTGCCTCCGGGTACGGAGTCACACCGGGACGCCCTCGTCATTCGATGTGAGATCGGTGACTCCATCATCCACCGTACTTACATCGATACGGGGAGCTCCGTCAACGTGATGTACCTAGACACCTTCAAGCAGTTGAAGCTGGACAGAGCTCTGCTGAAGCC